TATCGAGACCCGAGTTTTAACGTTATAAGTCCGCAGACATAATGTTGAGCCACTGGGGGAGCGTGTTAGTTCAGATAACGTTCTGTAAACGTTGTTTATTTAAATATTTCAGTTTTTTTACTAGCATAGTAACTTACCTTATGATGCATATGTTTTATATAACGATATTCTTGCACGCAGCATATAAAACAATCTATTATATAATGTATCGGGAAAATGTGTCAAATTTAAAACTTGCCAGTTACTGCATCCGTTTTTTAAAATTATATGACATTCACTGTCTCATTTCTTTACCATAAATAATTTATAAGAAGACAAATATAGTTGTCCCAGGAGGGCACTTGCCCCCTGGAAATGAGAAACGTAACTCTTTACTTTTTTTTTTATTTATTCCCCTTATGTATATGAATTTACAAGTTTTTTATTCACTACACAATTTCACACTACTTTGCCCTCCCTCTCCCCCCCCCCCGGAAAAATATCTGCGGACGCCCAGGAGGTAAAATATATATTGTAACTGTATTGTTTCTTTTATTATTATTAGGTAAGTGTATAAACAACATATTGAACAATTACGGCATCATTCTAATTTGTAATTCACTACTTCATTTAAGTAACTAAACAATACAAAACAAACTTGCGTCGTTTAAAAACTCGAGAAATATGACTATATATATATATATATATATATATATTTGATGAGCCACGACTAAAAAGCGAGAAATATATGGCTGGAATTTGCATGAACGTTACATATAAGGCTTCCATACTGAGCACTGTGTCTGTATACGTAAAGGAGATAAGACTGGTTGTGTTGAGTACACTGATGAAACTATGACCCGCGTGTGCGTGTGTCTATGAAACTTCTCACATGCGTAGGCTAAACATCCACATTCATGTATCAATAATATTGAAAAATGGTTTCAGAGTCATGACGAAAATTCTCAGTTTACAATTGCATTGTTATAAGATGTAGTTCTACTTGGGTCTTCCTGCTTAGTTGGACCCATGCCTTCAGCAGTTAAAAAACCACGTGTAAAATCGAATCTCTGTGGATGTGTTACATATGTAAAATAGTGAGTATGAAACGACCCACTTCTTGTTGGCGATCGCTTTCATTGGCCTAGAAAAACCAGCTCAGTTTCCCTACCACTTCAATAGAATTGCTTACCAAATCCGTAAACATTACACTGTTGACCTTAGACCTAGATTTAGAACGAAACTGGTGTACGCTAGGGCACTTGGTAACAACTGTATATAAAATAAAACGCGTCTGTATGGGAGTACTATCCCTTTTGTGAAATGTTGTGACACACCAGATAATAACATAAGTTGTTTCTCAGAAGGAAGGAACAGGATAAACCTTTTACGTGCACCAAACTCTTTACTCATGGAACTCCAAAGACAGATTTTGTTTTGTTTTATCTATACATTAAAAGTCTATTTTATACAAATACAGAGTAATAAAGTTTTGCTAATATTCATAATAAGGTAAAGAAATTTAAAAATACGAACTGCCGAGGACTTAAATAGTACATTTAACAACATTTCAAATGCATTGTAGCATTTTCGTGGACACATAGTTCATAAAATATTTCGTTTTTATTTGTTTGTTTTGATGCACAGAGGCATAATGTGTTATCTTTGTTGTGCCTACCACTGTATCGAAACTCGATTTTTAGCTTTATTAGCTCTCAGACTTACCGTGAAGCCACCAGGGGAAGGGGCAAGATATTTCGTTAAACTAGGTGTTATATGTTGTACTTTTCCACCCCTCTGCCTGCAGCGCCACCTGCTGTGAACATCAACATTTCTGATAACGTTTTTTTTGTTGTTTTTTTTACATTACTCCACTAATAGACCTTTTCCTATAAAACAATTTAAGAAAGGTAGAAACTTATGTTACTAATTTGTTATATTAATCCGCCGAGCTGTTACACAACAAGTAGAGATATAGTTCCTTGTGTTTGAAAGAATAGGCTACTTACGTATAGCTCACGTATCGTTTGTGCAGACCATTATTTCGGTGGTTATAGGTATGTATATATTCACTAAAGATGAAATGGCCTTGGACCACCACCACCTTACCCCCTAGCGAATCGCATCATGAGAACAAACGTTCAAGGTCTCATAAATGTGCGGTCGTACTGAGGGTCTTCAGTTAAGCTTCAAAGCACAGGAAACATGTTAGTTTGGGCCTGAAGTATCCACAATATGGCGCGTCTTCGGAAAAATTCTGTTTATAAAGTATTTGTCCAACCGCTTGATACAACAAGGCCTAGAGATTCAGCTTAAAACTTTAAGATCTAAATACTGACCACCACAAAGTGGAAATGACTCCGTGACATTTGAAGGTTAATAATAATTATTTTGTAAATAACCAAGTTATGCACGTACCAAAATAATATTTATATGATATGCGAATATAGAACATTATACTATACTAGAAATATCTTGTTCGTACATTCCTCGCGTTGAAAATAAACAGAATTGCTGGGTTATTGCTGGCTTAGATTATAAAAACTACAGCCTCAAAACAAAAACGGTATACACTCATTGGGCTTTGCATTCTCTCTACGCCAACACAATGTTATTTAAGGTCTATAGTAAATATCAAATAAATTGATAATTTCAAAAAAAATTCCAGGAACTGTGTGCTGATCTGTATAATAGTAGTTTATCCCTTATTTTTGTTTTGTGTGTAGATTAACCTGCCTTCGACTGATTTCCGTCGAACATTTTTTTTTTTTCGGTGATAAACCTGTCTTGCGTTTGATATCAGGTTTTCATTTTAAGTAGCGATGAACTTAGGTCGAATAATAATAACTAAAACGCACTGAGAACTGATGAACCTGTCTTATCGTTATGAATTTTCTTGCTGTTTGCTAATGAACCTTACCTGTAATATTATCCCTCTTGTTCGTTGTATGCTGATAAATCTGTCTTGTAATATTATCACTCTTGTTCGTTGTATGCTGATGAATGTTTCTTGTAATATTATCACTCTTGTTCGTTGTATGCTGATGAATTTGTTTTGTAATATTATCATTCTTGCTTGTTGTATGCTGATGAACCTGTCTTGTAATATTATCACTCTTGTTCGTTGTATGCTGATGAATTTGTCTTGTAATGTTATCACTCTTGTTCGTTGTATGCTGATGAATTTGTCTTGTAATGTTATCACTCTTGTTCGTTGTATGCTGATGAACTTGCAATATTATCACTCTTGCTTGTTGTATGCTGATGAACTTGTAATATTATCACCCTTGCGTTCATGAAATTCTTATGTTAATTAGTGATAAGCCAACCCTGTAATATTATCACTGTTTCTTGTTGCATGCTGGTGAACCTATCCTGCGATATTATTACTCTTGATTCATATATTCTCATGAACCTGTATTGTATTATTACTTTTGCTTGATGTATATTGATAAACCTGTCTTGTAGCACAAAGGGTTGAAGTACGTAATATTAATACGATTTTGATTCCCAACCTTGTTCGTACAGTTTATGTCGTTACGTCAGATCATGGTGTATCTGCCAATCATACATCTTAACACAAACTGACAATATCCACGCAGCCTAGTTTCCACTGCAGTTGTCTCCGTCATAAGGCTGTGGTGTCCAAAGCACACCACTCCTCCATACAGGCATTCCATTATCCATCTAGTGTACGAGGAGAACAGATTCCCAGCACCCTTTTAACCATTTAGATGGCACAGAACTCCACTGGTCTGCGTCCGACCACTTGACCGGTATGTTTTCGTATGGAATAGCGTGAATACCTGTTTCATTCTTCTGCTGCTTGTGGTATGCAACAGTTGAAAGGGAGTACGACTGGAAGCCTTATCTTGGTCTTGTTTTCAGACAATTTTTCTTTATTATGTTGCATACTGTTGCCTGAAACACGTGAGCATCGTTTGCTACTGACCTATATATTCGTGAATTCTCATCTTTGCAATTTGTTTACAGGTGGAATACGACTTGTAGCAACTCTCTTTCTGGATGGTCCTGGTCCCCCAAATTGATCTATGTTTCTTTGTTTTCCAATTTAATTAAGTACAAGGTATATCCCTGTCTTTTAAATTTCAAATCCGCGAATTGAGCTCACCTTTATGATCCGAGTATATGAATACTTTGCGTTGGAAATGGCTGTTACTTATCCTCCCCAAAAGCAATAAGTTTTCGGTAGCACCATAGTGCCAAAATGAAGTTTCGGTACATTTCGTTCCACCATGAATATATATATCGGCTGTAATCATCACGTAACTTGCAGACTTGCAAATTAAAAATCGCTTAAATAAAACGTATTCAACCCTGTATTATCGCTTTTTATTTATTGTTTGATGATCAATCTTTATTGTAATATTATCGTTTTGCTTGTTGCGTGCTGATGAGCCTATCTTGCTATTTGTTTATTGTTACTGACAAACGTACCTTGTAGTATTACAGTTCTTTCTTTTTGTATGTTGATGAACATGACTTGTGATGTTATCACTTTTTTGTTTACTGACGAACGTATCTAGTGTGTAATTCACACTTGCTTGCTTGTTGTGTGATAAAGATGTGTGTCACATTACCTTTAGTCTCGCTAAGATAGTAAATAGTTTGAATTTTGTCACAAGCCCAGAGTTAAGGCCTAACAAGAGACAAAAAGAATAGACGAGTTTATTTTTAAAGAAGCTCAGTCAAAAAAAAAGTATACGTACCGAATAATTGTGTTGAATATCACGCAAAGCTACACGAGGGATATCTGCGCTAGCCGTCACTAATTTAACATAGTTTGACCATCACTTTATAACGCTCCACGACTGAAAGGGCGAGTGTGTTTGGTGAGAAGGGGACCCACGACCCTCAGATTACAAGTTAAGCGCCCTAACCACCTGGCCATGCCGGGTACTAAATAAAGAAATTTAAAACAATATATAAAACAACAACATACTAATTACTAAACTGTTTCCATTTTAGTATTTCAAAGATTTCATATAAACCCCTCTCACCATGTTCATCACTGTCAGAATGTATGTTTCAATGTCTTCATTGGAGTAATATTCCATCATCATCTTGTCCGCCACCACTAGGGTTTCCACATTTCTTTCCAAGCTTATAGAACGTCTTCGTCTTGTTTTCTTGTTCTGTAAAGCTTCCCACAGTTCATGTTCTTTCAGAACAGAATCTATATTGTCTACGGTCAAAAAACATATCGAAATCAACGGTAAGTTTCAAAACCAAAATGATCCATTTATGTGAATTTATAGAGTGAGAGGAATTAAACAAATAAATGCAGTATCAATCTTCTGTTTTACTTATGCTACTTAGTTATTACTCATTACACGCACGCTCTAAGTACAATTCAAGCTGAAATAGTTTCTTGACTTCAAGGGGGGGGGTTTTGCAGCCGTCTGCGAATAGTTCAAAATTATGAGCTAGCAAAAGTGTGACGCTTAATAACTAAATTACACATTTATCTACGTTTCAAAACAACTTTTAACATAATTAATAAAATTATGCTACTTATACTTAAATTTACTACTTTGTTCCTGTTTATAAATCCGATTCCGGATTTCAGTTACGTTAATTTCGGGGTGTATACCATGTTAACAATAATGTTCACAATGCTTCTACAATAACGTTAATTTCGGGGGTGTACCATGTTAACAATAATGTTCACAACAATACTTCTACAAAAACCTTAGTTAAGTATCGATAAATACGTAAATGCAGTTAACAGGTTTGCAAGGTTAACCACCACATGAAAAGTCACACCTGGCGGCGCAACCCCTGGGACTGTCACCTAGTGCTCAACCCAATTCAGTAATAATTCATTTGTGGGCGGAATTCCACCGACGTAAAGTTATTTAGCTGTTCACTGAAAGTGTAAGATCCAAACGAGGCAGCACGCACAGGAATGCAGAGGATCTCTGAGGAAGTAAACCCATTAAGAGACGACACAGACATATCTTCAGTTCCCATGATGACATCTGTACTCAACCGATTAAAATATGGACTGGTTTTTACATAATATGTCTCGAACCCAGACCGGCTTCCACTTTTCATAACTATATTAACATAATAAAACATTAGATTAAATAATCCCACTATGAAAATCCGCCGTACTCACATTTTACCAATAGTACCAACTTGAAAAATTTGTAAAGAAATCAACTAACGGTTTGAAATAATACATCTGACGATATTCCACTCACAACAAGAAACTTGCAGGATGAAGGGACACGAAAAAACTCGAGCTCTGATGGTTTAAAGCCGCTGTTGCTTTATTTAGCAATCACCAGACTCCCACAAATTCTTAGTTAATGCTCATTCTCAGCAATATAAAAAAGTCCATAGTTCAAAACACTATTTAGTAGGACCAATTTCCAAATTGTCCACTGTTGATGTAGCACCATTTAGCGGATTTTAAAGGTAACGATAAAGAGCAGGTTTAACCTTATATATTATCAAGTTATGTGTGGGAAACTACATCGTATTTTTCAAAATAACACTTCTTGGTAACTACCATATATAAGGATGCATATCGACTCGTTTTTAAGCACGATATTAAGCCCAAACTAGGCGTGGCATTTTAAAGTAGTCATCCATTCAATTTTTTTATTTACAAATGATTGCAGAAAATTTGGTGTCGCACAACGTACGATATTTTGCACCATATCAAAGCACAACGTACGATATTTTGCACCATATCAAAATTACATTTCACTTAAATTACATTTAAATATAATTTTATCGATCTACTATACTCACATCGTACATTCTTATATCGAGACAAAAATAACAATAATATTGATGAGTATACTGGAAAGGCCGACAATTGCCTATTGTAAAGAAAGAAAAAAAATACAAGTGTAAAGGACAACGTTTCGAAATTCTTTCGTCTGAAAAATCTTGAGCTCTTTTGATTTGATTGGTATTTAGTTTTGCATTTTTATTATTTTGTAACCGATAGCACCCTAAAAACGAATGAACATGTAAGCCTAAAATGTACAAAAAATATTAAACATCATTACTAAAAATAAATTGCATGGGAAATAATTATGTTACAACTAGTTTCTCGGTGTAAAAATATTTATGTAATGCAATTGAGTTAACTTTTTTGTTTATTTTTTTTTGTAAAATGATCTGTATCCGATAGTTATATTACTCTATGTCTTTCTGTGGATGAAGGTTTCATTCAATTTCATTTGTTACCTGTAACTTTCTAATGGAAATAATCTTTATTATTAAGCTGAAAACTGGTGTTTGTACATTACAAGGAAAATATGATAATTGAGTTTTGTGAAATGCTCACAGAAAAATATAAAAGAACAACAAAAAAAAAGACTTTTTCAACAATATTAACAAAAACGATATATATTTATATGTTACTGTATTTGTTTCGGATGTTAGCGCAAAGATACACAAAGCCTATATCTGCTGGCTATCGATAATTTTGAGTTGTTACACTAGAGAGAAGGCAACATTGCCCACTGCTAACTCTTTGGGTATCCTAATCGAACAGTGGGGTTTTTCAACATCACTTTTATAACACATTCAAGACCCAAAAGTGTAGAGGGAGATTTTGCAACAACGGAATGCGAATGTTGGACCCTAGGGTTTATAGTCAGGCGCGCTATCTGTTAAGACAAGCCCGGTTCAACTCCATAAATAAATATATATACATATATATATAAGAATGACTTCCGTTGCAGACTATTAATTTCTATGAAAAAGTAATAAACATAATTGTTGTTATATGGGGAAAAAAGATAACTGTAACTTATTTTTTAACGAAATAAAAACCATGGTTAATTGGGCCCATGTGCCCTCTTAAGTGGTTTAGAAAGAAAACAGCGTACAAGCCAATGAAAACCATGGTTGCTGATGGAGTCCTTTAAATCATTGTAAAAAGACACTTTATCATTAATAAACAAGCCAATTATGTTCCTTTTTTAGACCAATTAGCTAATAGTAGGTTCCGAGACATGCAGACATTGTATTTATACCTATTTGTCAGTGCCACAAATGCATCGCAATTTCATGATAACATAACTGGACGTCTGGAACATCCAATTTTATAATCAGCTCTTAATTATGAAGTCCTTTTTTTTCTCGAGGACTAGTACATTACACCTCGAAACTGTCGCGTCTCAAGGCAAAACTAAACCTAATTTTAGCCCCTAGTCTAGAGTGTGACAGTTATGGCTTCATCAAAAGTGTTTATGTGATGCTCTTCTCACATAATCTATGAAACAATTTTAGGTACGATCTTACTCTATTAATGATTATTATAATAATCCAACAAATGATATTGATTTTCTTAAAGCGATGTGCTTCTGGTAATATTAACTTCAACCGATTTTGTCCTTTGAAATCTATTCAAACCTAAATATTTTTGACAGAATATGGAAGGATAAAACATGTTTCATCGTTCAAATTTTCAACAGTATATCCAAGCAAGATTTAAGAAATTCACCCCCCCCCATTATACAGTATCGTTGTAAACTAAATTTTTTCCCATGACCTCCATTCGCTCGAAGCTAGTGAATTTTGCCCTTTGGTGACACCATACCAACCACGATAAGAAAATTAA